AAAAACTATAATAGTACACAGGATCCTAATGAGATAATTAATAATGTGAAATAGGAAGTAAAGGGCTAAAGGTGTAAGGAAAGTGGGAAGGGTGGGGGAAAGGTAATAAGGGAGAGGAAAAAAATATGAGAAACTGAAAAAATGGAAATAAAGTGTTTGTAAATGGGGAGGGGAGGGGGGTGAAGGGAGGGCAGGGACAAGGGGAAAAAATGAGAATCAAGACCTATTATGTAAAGGTACAGAATCCCAATGATGAATGTAACTGTATTGTATACCTAGATTGTACCAATAAACTCAATTTAAAAAAAAATAATAGGGCAGTTGCTCCATCCATAGAAAGCACATCTTATTTTAAAGAAAAGTCTGTCAATTGATACATATTAGTAATACAGAATAATGAGATTTGTGATGGTATATATTATTCATTATTGGGCAGCTCAATTAGTCCTTTCTGCTAGGCTCATTTCTCCATCTACAAAGTATCCCTGAGTGGATTCTATCCTCTACTTACCCTTAGGACCCCAGAGAGCATGGTCACTTTCACTATGTCAAAATAGACCATTAGGGTTCTGAACCAAGATTTTTATCCTACATGTCCCCTTATCTCAGAGAAAACAACTTCTTCAACTATTTCTTTCAAGCTGGTATGTATCCATTCAGTCTACCATAAAGTGAGGAGACCTGCAGGCTGCTTCCACATTGATGTTACCTGGGAATTTATAGGAGGTCAGATGACTCCTTTCAGAACTGTCAGTGTCTCATTGATCAGGGACTATGATAATCACGAACACCAAAAGCTTATGAAGAAAGGTATGGTGATGTAGACTTCTAAACCCAGCATTCTTGGAGGCTGAAGCAGTAGGATCACAAGGTTGAGCCCAGCGTGGTCACCTTAGTGATTTAGTGAGACCCTGTCTCAAAATAAAAAGTAGAAAGTGCTGAGGATATAGCTCAGTGTGAAGGTTCTGGTCTCAATCCCCAGTAATGCAAAAAAAAAGCAAAGAAAAAAACATACTAACTTCAGTTTGATTTGAGTCAGTGGCTTAGAGCTATTCATAGTCTGAGGCCTTATAGGAGGCCGACTATAGTCAATAAATAAGGTATTGTAATAGTAAAAGCAACAGAATAGGATATTATTCTTGAAAAAAGATACTTGAAGAACTTTTATCATATGTTTTATTGAGATAATTATAGTTTCCCATACAATTGTAACACTAATATAGAGATCCCATGCACACTTTACCCCTTTTGCAAGCTATAATATAATATCATAAGTTTGATATTGGCATTGACAAAATCCGTCTAATTCAGATTTTTCTATGTTTATTTGTACTCATTTGTGTATTTATTTTTACATAATTTTTATTACATGTAGGTTCTTATGTATACAACTTTAGGTAATATACAGAATGGTCCTGTCCCAGTAAGGATACCTTAAATTACCCTTTCATAATCACATTCACATTCACTTCTTTCCACTCGTCTCACTTTGATCCCTAATCCCGCTGAAACCTCTAATCTGTTCTCTAATTCTGTTGTTTCAAATTATATAAGTGAAACCATTATAAATTAAATTTTAGTCTTTTGGATAAGCTTTTTCATTCAGCATACTCAAGATTCATCTATTCGGATTGTTGTGTGTATCAAGTTTGTTTATTTTCATTGTTGAGTGGAATTCATGGGATGTATATAGTACAATTTATTTATTGACCCATTGAAGCACATCTGGATTGTATCTAGTATTTGGCTAATAGGAATAAAGCTGCTGTGAACATGTGTGTATAGGTTGTTAAATTGTACTTTCATAGTAGGCCTTACTATCAGGTAGAATGATTCCTCCTACTTTACTGTTCCATTTCAAGATGATTTTAACTTTGTAGGATTTGTGCATTTCAATATAATTTTTAGAATTAGCCTATGCCTTCAAATTTTTGAGGAACTAATAAATATTTTTTTCATGACAGGTGCATCATTTTACTCTCCTATCAATGATGTATGAAAGCCCAATTTCGCTACATCTTAGCCTGTACTTATATTCCTTGTTTTTTGTTATAGCCATCTTAGTAAATATGAAATAGTATTTCATTGTGGTTTTTTGTTTTACTTCTATAATTAGCAATGAAGTCGAACAACTTTTCATGTGTTTGTTGTTCATTTATATATCTTCTTTTGAGATATGTCTATTGAAGTACCATCTTTTTATAACAACTCTGAAATTTTCTTTTCTCTCACCCTTTGGTAAACCATTCTGCTTATTGTTTCTATGAATTGAAAGTGAATAAAACAGATTTTTTTGTGTGACTGAGTTATTTCACATAAGTATGTTGTAAAGTTCATCTAAGTTTAATACAAGATTTACTTATTTGTTGAGCTTGGATAATATATCATTGTATGTATATACTATATTTTTTTATTCAGTCATTCATCAATGGATATTTGGATTATTTCCATGTTTTTGCTTTTGCAAACAATGCTGCTATGAACATTAAGGTAGAAATTTATTTTTAATGTTTTCAATTCTTTTGGGTATGTATATCCCAATTGTTTTCAACTCTTTTGGGTATATATTCATGATTAAATTTGTGGCATCCTATGATAGCTCTACTTTTCATTTTTTCAGGACCTTCCATAATGTTTTCCATGGAATTTGCACCATTTTACATTCCCATTAACAGTGCATAATTGTTTACATTTCTCTACATTATTACTAAAATTTGTTATATGCTATTGTTTTAAATTTTACAGTAGCCATTCTAATAGGTATGAGAAATGATGGTTAATCTTGTCAATTTGATTGTGTTGAGAGGTGCCTAAGAGATTAGTAAAGCTCACTTCTGAGTGTGTCTGGGTGGGTCATGGAGATACGACTTTGAGTCATATCTGTCTGGTCTTTGGCCCTTACCTCTCTGGTACTCTTCACTTATTTCTGCTTCACAGATGACATAAATAGAGCAATCTTCCTCCACCATATTCTTCTGCTGTGAAGTTTCTGCCTTGGAGTCAGGTGACCATGGACTAAAAACTTTTGTAAATGTGGGCCAAAATAAACCTTTCCTCGTTGCAGTTATAGGTGTCAGGCATTTTGTACCAGCAATGGGAAAGCTGACCAATAAAGAAAATTAGTACCAGAGAAGTGGGGTTGTTGCTGTGAGTATACCCATATGGATCAGAAATCTTTGGAACTGGTCTATGGGTAATATCTGGAAAGTTTTGGAGATGCAAGCTTGAGCAGATTGGAATGCTGTAACAAGAGATTGATGGGTGATTTTGGTGAGATTTCAGAATGCTGATTGGAATGAAGGCAGTAAAAGCAGTGCTCATGGGGTTTCAGATGGAAATAAGGACTCCTTTGGGAATTAGCTCAGGGGTCATGCACATCACATTTTTTTTTGCACATAATTTGTATTTTATTCATACCCTAAAACATTCTGGGAAGCTGAGTTTACAGACTATGGATCTGGTTTGTGGTAGTACCACTGGCTGCTTTTAGATAAATTTATAGTTAAAATCAGAAGCAGAAAGTAAAGCAGAAAGTAAAGCAGAAAGATTTGAAAACTTTCAATTTGGCGAGGTGCATGGTTGCTGAAGTGAGTGGATCCATTTAAAAAGTACTTTGGCCAGGGATTTAGCTCAGTGGTTCTGTCACTTGCCCCACAAGCACAAAGCCCTAAGTTCAATCCCCGGTACCAATAAAATAAATAAATAAATAAAATAAAAAGTACTTTGCTCCAGCTCCAGGTATAAGAAGAACAGTCTTTTGAAGGCATCTCAGGAATCAGCAAGATCTCACCCTTCAGACTCAAGGTTATAAAAGTTTATTATCCCAGCTCTTGAGAAGCTGATGCAGGAAGAACAGGAGTTTGAGATCAGCTTGGGCTAAATAGCAGGGCCAGCCTTAAATATACCAAGACCCTGTCTCTCTCTCTCTCTCTGTCTCTCTCTCTCTCTCTCTCTGTCTCTCTCTCTCTCTCACACACACACACACACACACACACACACACACACACATACACAGACCAAATACACAAAGATCAAAGAAAGATATAAAAGTATACATTTCTGAAAGACTTTTCTTTGAGAAGATAACCCTAGGGTTCCCTGCTTATTCACAGCCACTTAAAGGAAGTGTTTACCTGCATTCAGCATTCCAGGCACTCACAGGACACTACAGCCTTGATCCATGGGGCCTAGTTCCTCATACTGGCGGTGGACTTTGGAATAAACCACATGATGCTATTTACAAGCATCCAGAGTCCAAGATTCATGGGGTCACAGAAGCTTCTACACAGATTAGAAAGAGTTTGAGAGTATGATTTGAGGAGGTGTGTTGTCAGGTTTACAAGGGGGAGGAATGTGAATGTGACATGATAGTTAATCTTGACTGTCAACTTCATTGGCTTGAGAGATACCTAGATTAGTAGATCATACTTCTGGGTGTGTCTAGCACATGGAGATGTGACCTTTGGAACTAATCTAGTCCTTGGCCTCTTCCTTTTTGGCTGTCCTCAGCTCTCCACTCCCAAATGACATGAATTGAGCAACTTTTCTCCACCATGACCTTCTTCTTCCATGATGTTTCTGCCTCAGAGACAGTTGACCTTGGACTGAAACCATGAGCCAAAATAACCTCTCCTCCTTTCAGTTGAATGTGTCAGGTATGTTGTCCCAAGAAAGTTGATCAATACAAAGGTGCTATTTTATTGTGGTTGTGATTTGTATATCTCTAATGATTAACGATGTTAAGCATCTATGCATGTGCTTCCTGACCTTTTGTATATCATGCTTAGAGAAATGTCTGTCAAAGTATTTGTACATTGTTTATTTGTAGTTTCTCTTATTGTTGAGGTGTAGGATTTCTTTTATATATTCTATATGTTAACCAATTATAAGTTTTATGATGCAAATATTTTGTCCCATTCTGTGTGTTGCCTTTTAATCTCTTGGTAGTTTTTCTTTGACACACATTTAAAGTTTGATGTAATCCTATTTTTATGCTTTGGTTTCTATTGCTTGTGCATTATGAGTTATATCCAAGAAATTGTGGCCAGATTTTAAGCCAGGAAGTTTTTTTCATATGCTTTTTCTAGGAGTCTTGGGTTTTACATTTTGTTCTTTAACCCACTTTGAGTTGATTTTTGCATAGTTTAAAAGAAAGGTTCTTTTGCTTGTGGATATCCAGTTTTCCGAGCATTTATTGAAAAGTCTGTCCTACACACTCCTTAATTGGTCTTGGAATTCTCATTGAATATCATTTAATCGTATATGAAGGGTTTTTTCTGGGCTGTATATTTTATTCTACTGACCTATCTGTCTATAATTATGCAGGCACCACACTTTTATTATTGTAGCTCTTGCTAGGACTTCCAGCATCATTTTGAATAAAAATGACTAGAGATGGCATTATTGTCTTGTTTCTATCCCTACTTGAGAAGCTTTTATATCATAATGTTGCTATCATTATTTGGAATATTATCTGTTGCAATAAAAGATTTTATTTTGCTTTCAAAAGATTTATTCCTTCTCTGATGCTATTCCATTTTTATAAAGATTCAAGTTTCTGATCTATATAAATTTCTTTCTGAAGAATTTCTTTTAATATTTGCAAAGTATATATAATGATGATACATTTCCTCAATTTTTGTAAGTCTGAGATTTTTATTCTTCCTTTACTTTTTATTGTGATAAAATATACATAACATAAAATGTACAATTTTAAATGTATAGTTCAGTGGAATTAAGTATATTTCCATTAGTGTGTAAATATCAACAACATCCATCAAGAACAATTTTGTCCTCCCAAAGGGAAATTCTATGCTCATTATAATTTCTCATTTTCTCCTTCTGCATCCTTGACTTTGAATCAATGATTTTGACAGTTATATTTACTTCATATAACTAGAATCATCCAGTACTTGTCCCTTTGTGAATGATTTACTTCACTTAGAATAAAGTTGTGGGTACTATCAAAATTTCCTTCCTTTATTTAGATTCTAATTCTAGCAAATACACGTTTTAAATTTTTATTTTATTAATACATATCAGTTACATAGAATAGTGGTTTTAATTTTGGCATGAATATAGCATACTTTGATCATTTTCCCATCCCCGTTGACCCCTTTCTTTTTGTTTCACTCACCCTTAGTCACCTTCTTTTTTTCTAATGCTCTCCCTTCTACTTCCTGTCATGTCTTTTAAAAATAACTTTACATTTTACATATGAAAGTTAACTATATGCTATGCTGGCTTTCTTTTAGGAGTATGCCCACTAGTAGAATAACTTGATCAAATGGTAGTTGTATTTTTGTATTTTAAGAAATTTCTATATTGATTTCCATTGCGATATTCCTACCAATGGTGTAGAAGTGCTCTTTTCCTCCTATTCCCTCATTGGCATTTATTCGTTGTATTTTTTGAGCACTCTCAAGTTTTTGTTCACATTTACTATTATTTTTATTAGTGATGCTAGGAGTAGAGAATAATGAGATTCAGTTTAGAGAATAATGAGATATTGATGCATATTTTTGTTTTCATTCCTTGTCCCTCCATACTTCCTCCCTTTCCCTAATCACCCTTGCTTATCTGCCTTCTACTTGTTTTTTTGATAATCTACTTTCTAGTTTGTTTCTTCATGACAGCCATTCTTTGTTTGTTTTTTGTTTTTTTTTCTTTTTATTGAGGTTATTGGTACAATCTAGGTATACAATACAGTTACATTCATCATCGGGATTCTGTACCTTTACATAATAGGTCTTGATTCTCATTTTTCCCCTTGTCCCTGCCCTCCCTTCACCCCCTCCTCCCCTCCCCATTTACAAACACTTTATTTCCATTTTTTCAGTTTCTCATATTTTTTTTCCTCTCCCTTATTACCTTTCCCCCACCCTTCCCACTTTCCTTACACCTTTAGCCCTTTACTTCCTATTTCATATTATTAATTGTCTCATTAGGATCCTGTGTACTATTGTAGTTTTTCACACCAAAGAAACTATTCGGTATTTCAGTTAAAGAACTCTCTGTATGAACATTAAAAATAGGGAATCCTAAAATAAAACTAAAAAGGAAA